TTGTTATCACTGGTGATAACATCAATCTCTAGAGTTTACTGAAGATTGTCTTCAGTTATGTCATCACTTTGTAGTTCTTGACATGCTCATATAAGGGACAGATCTAAGCCTGTAATTGCTTAAAATGAATGGCGCTCTTGATAATTGTAGCAATATTCCTAGTTCTGCTACTTAATGACCTCATAATTAAGAGGATCCAATGATCGATGAAATATCGATGTTCGATGAAATAAAAGTACAAGACAATCATATGAACTTTTGAATATGTACTAAATTGGGCATGATAGGGGCCTTTTTTGAAAACAGCATTAATTTTTTCCATAGACTAAAAATGCATAAACCCAGAACTCCTAATATGGGCATGATATCGAGCACAATATGACAACAACTTCAGCAGTGTGTTGACTTGTCCACACCCACAAAAACACTCATCTGGAATATCTGCTTAGTCTGCATGCTCACAGCACAAAATAAGATAATGTGATTTGGTTAGAGGGCAGATTGCATATTTCACCCCTGATATCAGTATTGCACAAGCCAGTATTGCAATAATGATCACCAAGCATTGTAGCATGCAGCCCTAGTGTGTATATGTTTGTCTAAGCTTGTCTACTTGTGAAATCTTTCTTTACGCTTCAGAGTAAACGGTCTAAAACAGCAGAACAGCCCAGAAATGCTTCATACCTGTGTGAGTAGGTGTCAGTGTGGGGGTGACTGGGCCAGCATATGTCTCCTATAGGCATCTGCTGAGCTGTGGCCCGCAGTCACAAACACGTTTTGACAGTTTATGTGTGGGGCAGCTAAGATTTGTGAGTCCTTCCTTAATGCCCCCTAGTGCGACACACACATGTACTGTACACATACACACATCGAGAGTGAGTCACTCCTTCACAGACCATGTGCTAGCCCTCAGTGCTCTGCGGGCTCTGTGGGTGTAGTTTAGGGCCCTGCAGAGGCCTGATGAGTCAGACAGAGAGAGAAAAAAATCTCTCCATTATTCATAAATGTCCTGTTCTCTAGTCTCAGCACCGCTGTCTAACCAGCCATCAAACCAGCGCTGGATAGATAAAAGAGGGTTAGAGTTGGGGGGAGAGAGAGGAAGAGAGAGGGAGAGAACATCTGTCATCTTACACTAGTCAAACGGTTTTATTCTGTTTTTGGCTGGTTTCCGTTTGGCTGGTTGTGTAAATGTATTATGTATTTTGTCGATGTTACACATATTTACATAAATTGTCACCTAAAATCTGTCCACGTTGATCTCATAACAAGAACATCTTTGGGAACCATGAGAATTTTTAGGCTAAATGTGGGTGGGAACATAGACTTGTTATGTTGAAATTTCTAAACCAATCCAAGCTTTTGTGAAGTGGGGCACTCCTGACTTCTTCAGCCAATCAGATGTCTGACCACTTCCAGTCTGAACAATCTCATTCTAAGCTCAAAAAAACTTGGCAGGAAATATTGGTTTACACTACTGCCAAAGCATTTCAATCACTATCATTCATCAGTCTATTAAAAAGTTGTTAAAGACCTACATACACAGCTACATTTAAACATAGTTTATTATCATGCATGATCTTATTTATTGTCACTGTTGTGTTCTTAACTAGGCCCATCACAATTATCACAATCATAATCTAACCTGATTGCAGTTATTAGAACTGATCGCAGTTGTTTAAAATGATGATCATTTTCTACAGTTGTGACATTACAGTATTTAATTAGGGTATGACGAACAATGTGAATTGGGTGCTCTTTCATCAGTTGGGTTGAGGTAAATAAATGTAAATAAAATAAGTGGAAAATGTATTTATTGCAGGGTTTATGAAACTAACAAAAGTTCTACCCTTTATAACACATTTAGAGGCCTGCACTGAGTAATATTTATTCATGTATTAACCAGGTAGCTAATGCTAACTTTGTTAGCATGTATAAATGCAGAACAAGTGTTCTTGGCTTATAATTATTATATTTTTACAATCACAGAAGATAGATATAAACTTGGCCTGACTACACATGGCTCTATGACATTTGTGTAAGTGTTTGCATGCAGACAACAGTACAGTATATTATTTGATATCAGTCACACAGAGTATTAAAAAAGAATTTCCCTGATTTATCCAAATTTCTGCATAATTAAACAAAGTTTAATACCTCTAAAAGCTCCATCACAGAAAGCTATTTTTGAGATTTTGAGAATTTATAAATATTTTTTTTAATCCATTCATGGTGGAGAGATAGATGCAGGGTGTTATAAGGCAAAATGCAGACATTTTGAAAAACTCATCATTTAGAAAAGATTGGTAGGAGGCAAGATAATTCATCAGGCAGTTTGGGCTTGTTCTTTTAATAGTTGCATAAAATAAACAAACATTCATGAATAAATTGTTAATCGCAATTATGTATATGATGGTTAATCATCAACTAATATTTCAGTGTGATGAGAGGCCTGTTGTAAACATCTGTTAGTGTAAGAAATTACACTGTTTCTTTGGTCCATTTGTCAAAATGCGTAACACAGCGTAAAAGGGCAGTTGGTGTTTTCGAGAAAGAGAGAGAGAGCGAGAGAGAAAATCTCCATTATTCATAAAAGTTCTGTTCTCCAGCCACAGCACCACTGTCTAACCAGCCATCAACCAGCAATGGAAGAGAGGAAGAGAATGTAGAGAATGTATTCTCTCTGCAGATGTTACACTAGTCAGTCACGATACCCCAGCATCTCTTTTTCATAAAACACAGAAAAGGGCTTTCTGGAAGGTATCAAAGCCAAAAAGAGAAACCAGCCGCGTGGGAGCAGCTCTTTCCAACAATTTCATGACCTATATAAATCTCCTGCCAAACAATCAGGGTGTGCAAGAGAGAGAGGGGATGATGTTGTGCTACCAGAATGCGAGAGGCAGTATATTGCAGAGTTTATTTTGCCATAACTCTTCCCAGTTTGAATCTACGAGCAGAAAAAAAAACATTTATAAAAAAAAACTTTGTTGGAAAGCTTCCCTCATTCGATAACTAGCAAAGTGCCTTGCTTTGCACTCCTAATGCGTTTGTATTGATGCCTGGAGGAAGATTATCATTGTTTCTTGTTTCCCTTTTTTTTTTTCACTCATAAACTTATTCTGCATTCATAATTGTGCTCTTGCTTGCAACTGCATAAAAAGCACAATAGCACGTCTCTCTCTCCTTTTTATTTCTTTCTTTCTCTCTCTCGCTTCTCCTCTTGTGATCCACCCACACAACCCTATAGTGACTCTGCTGTATGTACCTGCTTCAGCACCCTGAAATAAAGCAGGCACAGAACGCTCCTGCTAGCTTAAGCACAGGTCCCAGCCTTTTCCTCTGCAGCTGTGTTTAATACCATCACTCTTATGCACCTCCAGCTCACCCACACGTCATTATATAAAAGGTTTTTTTCCTGTTAGAAGTCAAATGCATGCATCAGTTTGTAATTTAGTTAACCACTTTTTCTTTTACCCTCACACAAATCTGAATTACTCCTTATTGGTTTAGAACCTTTTCTGCTGTACACAAGCTAATCGCTTCATTTACAGAGCCAGGAACTTGGCACCCTTTTCCTCGCCCTTGCATAAAGAAAAATGGGTCGAGACAGAGAGGGGCGGAGAGAATGACAGTGCAGATGGCGGAAAGATTCGCTAATTATCTCAAATTGCAGGTGGTAGAAACCATCACCTTTGGCCTCAGTCTGTGGAGCTGATTAAGATAATATGGTGGCACAGTTTATTAATGTATTTTTCATTTAAGAATCATTAAAATTGGCCAGACCACACCATCTCCCCCAGATTACAAAAAACAGCTGAAATTATAGTTAAGTTTGTGATGGAGCTGGGAGACATATCTGAAGTGCATTTCAGAATACCTGTTTGTAAATGCAGTATAACCCTTTGGAAGCTTAAAATAGCACTACCAATCACAAATTCTAGAGAGAATCGTAGACAACAGTGTTCCTGCAACACTGGCCACACTATATTTTGATAAATGTCTAAATCTACACATACTCAAATTAGTAACAAACTATCTGGTTACTCAGTTGATCAACTTAGTTTATGAACTCAGGCAGGTATGGGTTCAGTTCCCCAATCGAATTAGAGAACTATGCCTTGGGCAAGACCCCTTCCTCTATCATATTACTTATGAAACTGTATAAAACTACATGAAAATGTATGAAAAGATTGTCTGCCAAATGCATGAATGTAAGAATGCTTGGTCCAGGTTTAGGATTCGGTGTAGGTTTTAGGATTTGGTTTAGGGTTACATTTAATAGAATCTGTTATATTCAATTTAACGTTCACTTGCATTTCCATAGATCAGTATTTTCCTGATCCATCAATCAAGTAGGGAAAGCACTAAAATATGTGTGGCATTGGGGCTCAAAGACCAGGGTTGAGACACAGCGTAATAGATATTTAGCTGAATATTAGTTAAAGACAAGGTCAATATGTACAGAACATTATAGGAGTCTTTCAAAATATTATATGATGCTCATAAATGTATGGCAAATTAAATGGCCTAAAAAGACATCTATCCTCAAAAGATTCTGGTGATAGATAGCTTGAAATAGTCACGTCTGAGTATTTCTTTTTGGCAAGCACAGCATACCAGATGCTTCTTTTCTGAGCCATGCCCAGGTGGTTTCAGCTCCCAGAGTGAGGTTGGATGCCCACTGGTTGTGATGGTCATATCTAAATGCATTGAATGCACTTCAAGCTGTATTAGGCAGTAGGGAGTCCTTAACCTTTGTACCTGTAGTCAACGGCAGAAGCCTTGTACTTTTCTTCTCTCTGCAGTGTTGGACAGTAAATTGTAGCAGTAATAATCTGCTCGTTCCTCCAAGTCTTCAAGTTCAGTGTTTGGGGAAGGGTACAGCAAAATATCACCAGCTCTGTCCTGCTGTGTTTTTATGTGAGCTTTAAGTTCTTGCTGTACTCACTTTACTGTGTTTTTTCTCTCTCTCTCCCTCTCTCTTTCCCCTTCTCTCTCTGCAGGCGTCCGCCGGCCCCCTGAAGCAGATAAATCCAACCACAGTGTTCACTACACTCTGCTAATAGCGTGTGTGCTTGTGGCTTTCGTCCTGGGCGCCTTTCTCTCCGGCTTCCTCGTCTCCTGTTACTGCAACCACAATGTCAACAAGACCAAGAGGCTGGCCAAGGACCCGGAGGCTCCCATCCCTCATGCGCTGTCTCTGCGCAGCCTGGCCAAGCTGAACGGCCTGCTGGAGAGCCAGGGCAAAGAGGAGAAGCTGGAGGTGTCCTCTCCAAAGATCTACAACTCTTTTTTCCAGAACGGGAAGGACCACCATCCACCACGTAGAAGTGCCCACCACGGCGTAATGTCAGAGCTCATCCATCCCCATCATCACCATTCCTCTGAGCTCTCCGGGCTACCGACGCCTGATTCGACGCCAGAGCTGCCCATCAAGAGCATGAAGGCCTTTAAGAACCAATGGGAGAAGAACCAGAATTGCAACAATGCCAAAGAGCCAAAGTCCCACAATGCTGCAGGATCCAGGCCCAGCTCTGGCGTCCATCAGCAGGTTTTCCCTTTCTCCCATGGGCTGGTTAACAGGCAGGTCCTGGGAGGCCCAATGCATCCGGAGGAGCGGAAGATCCACAACGCTGAGCGCATACCCAGCCAGCCACAGCACTGCTACCCACACAAGATTGTTGACGTGACCTCGCTTGACGAGCTTCTGAAGCACATCCATGAGATTAACGTGGCCACTGGGAAGAACCCCACCATGCTTACCTCATCAATGTCGGCCAGTGCGGGCCAAATGGCGTTCGCCAACCGTGTACAGCCTCAGATCCCTGAAACAGAGTCGGCGCCCTACTACAGCTCCTCCACCCTGCCCAGAGACAGCCTGACCCGCCGCATGGACGTCCCTCCAGACATGCCTCCTCAGCATCAGTCCACATTGGAGAGGATGTCTCGCCACGCCTCCCAGCGCCACTCGCTCATGTCTGGTGGAGAAGGAGGGGTGATGGTGTGCCGTGAGCCCAGTTTCAGTCGCCGCTCGCACCATCCACCTCCTCCGCTCCTATCCCGGATGAACTCTACCGGCAGTGAGGTGCGCCACCCACTCATCTCCAACGGCTACCTGACGCGACAGCACAGCTACAGCGAGCAGCCGGAGGTCCACCGGGGTGCCGTGGTACGCCGAACCACCTCGCTCAAACCGGATGTCCCACCTAAGCCGCTCTTCATCCCTGCCACCTCTCCAGTCAACCAGGCGGGGAAGTTCAACTACTGAGCTCCGGCGGACTCCTCACCTGCACACCAGAGCCTAAAGACTGAAGAAATCTACACTCATGCAGAGAGCAAGTCTAGACCCGAAGTCTAGATTTCTTAAGTGTGTCTTTGGACAGCTTTCGACTAAATGCTGCACTAACCACTGAGAACTGGATTCAGTCAAGAGTGCATAAGAAAAACTGCATTCAGTGGAAGAACCTCTCATGATTTGATAATGGCTGCCAGTGTTGTCAACTTCATATTTGAACTTTAAACTTTTTTTTGTTTATTTTCTTTGTGTCTCATCAATATATTTGTACCATATTGGTATTGCTCAGCTATTTGCTTATAGAAGGTGAGGAACTAGAAGAGAAAGGAACAGCACCCATCTTGTTCTAGGCGCTGTCACTGTGTTGAGTGTGGCTTTTAAGTGTTCTCCCAAACCCGCGGTTATGGTTATCACTAATTCTGAGGTTGGGACCTGGACTAAGCTAACAACTGGGCTTGAGCCTTATGTGATGCTGATCTTTCTTGCTTTGGCTTAACTATTCTGTTGATGTAGAGTTGATGAACTGTACCAATCCCAGCTCTAAAACGTGTATATATGCATGTGTGTGTATATATATGTGTGTTCATATCTACACAGTATATGTATACATATACATACAGAGTATATGTATCCTGAAGAACAAAATGGATGATCTCCTCTGAAAGTAGCTCTTTGCCTTATTTTGAAAAGTAAATATGTTGTTGAAAAGCCCTTCTGTTGATCTTTTACACTACAAATGAAGAAAACTCTCTTGGGAAAACACATGAGCAATAACCTGTCCACCATTAACTACCATTACTTTTCCAACAGCACTGCCCACCTTTAGAGTAATGTAGCCAAAATGTAAAATAGTGTGACTAAAAGTCTGGTGACCAAAAGCATGGCTACGAAACAGATGGTTTTACTCAGTGTTATGAATATCAATGTATGTAAGAGGAATGTAATCAGATGTGCATCAGGCTTATCATTTAATCCAAAGCAGCACGTTTTTAAAGCTCTTTTAAACCATGATTTCAAATCTCAACATGAACTTTTTGGACCAGTTCTGACACAGATTATGCCATACGCTAGACTGAATAAGATTGTCATTGTAGAATCCCCACTGAGGGGGAAAGTAAGTCCTAGACTGGACTTAAACTGTGAAAATTGACCCCGTGTGCCAGAACTGAACCCCCAGATCTGAGCTACTCCCATTTTCGTCATATTAAAATGCATTTTATCATTATTAACATTGTAGCTATTTGGTGTAAATATAGTAACAATAACTAGCCAAATTCTGTTTGTGTAAATTTGTGCCTTATTTAATATAAAATGTGCTACAGGGGGGCGTATGGAGGAAGGGAATCGGGGAGAGGAGAGTCAAGACGCTACCTTTATCGTTTAATTTGTAATTTTTAAAAAAAAAAAAGAACTTTGGTGTCTCTATGTGTCATATATATAAATATTCTATTGTAGATTTATATTTCTATTTAGACCTTTTTAATATTCCCTTACTGTGTGAAGCTATTACATTTGGGTCAGCAGCTGCCTGATTTTTATGAATAGTATTTTTTTCCCCTTTGGTTTCTGTTTTCTTTATGTGTGCATGTGTACTAATGCATTGCACAGAACACTGCAAGCAAAGCTGTTTTTTATTTTATTTTAATCACAATTGATGGAGTTTGGTCAAACCTAGTGCTAAATTGGGAAAAGCAGTATTAATTTGGTTTATCTGTTTGCTTGAAGGGGAGGCTTGGGGCGTGTGTGTGTGTGTGTCCTCAAGCACACATGTGTGCATGTGTTGAGTGTGTGTGTGTGTGTGTGTGTTAATCTGTTGGGAATATCAGTTGGCTGGAGTTCAAACATATCTCTCTCTCGGCTTCGCTGCTGCACTGTCAGACAGAACGGCTCTGTATGCTTCTCAACTCAAGGACATCTCTCCCCTCAAGCTTCTCTTTTGTGCTAATGATATGTCTGGGTTTGCATAGAATTCTTGGTGCTGGTCTGAAATAGTTTTCCTCTGTACACTTGAATTAATCTCTCCAGTCGGCTGCCTGTTAAGATGCGCTACAGTATGTTGCCCCGAATTAAACCAAATGCAATGTCATTTTTTTTCATAAATGGCTCGACGTACATATGCAACGTACATACAACAGTAGGCAACTGTTGAATGAAGCCCTGTTAAAACGACGGCTGCTTATTGAAGTGAAGTCTGTCATTTCATTAATGCCCGTGAGAGAATGGAACAGGTTGCCTACATGTAGGGGAGAGAAAGAGTAGTTTCTTTGAATTTCCTTGGACTTTATGAAGGAAAGGGAATGAATGGTCTGTGTCTGCTTTATGTGCTCTAACCGCTGAGGTTTTTGTTATTGCACAGTGTAAATAAAGGGGAATGCCATGGAGATGTCCAGAATGCGGTGTTCAGTTCTGATTACTGCAGGACAAAAGCTCCACAGCCTCTCCCCCTCTGCTTTTCTTGAATACCATTGTATTTTCCTTATAACAGAAATAAATCAGAAGACCTAACAGGCATGTTGTTTGGATTGATTGCGTAACTTTTTAATTTGCATAATTTGCTTGTGCAAAAAGTCAGTGTGACTGTCTCCTGTGACTAGTAGTTGGATTCATTTCATATTTAAGACATTTTTTCAGTATGGAAATTTCTCAGCAGCATACATATTTATGAAGCAGTATTAATTGCTTATAAGTAATAATACCTTATTATGCATGCTATACATAGGACAGTCAACCTAATGAGCATGGTATGCTAGCTTCTACCACAGTTTAGTCCACTTCATTAGTGTTTGTATTGCGCTATTTTTCTTCAGCAAATTTAGATAAGCGGAGTACGTTCCTGCACCTACAACACTAATCTGCCACTCTCCTCTCTCACCTTAAGTTGTCACTTATGTTCTTTTTAGTTTGCTTGCCTGTTTAGCCTGTGCTCTTGTTCAAAATCAGACAAGATTAAATGCTCAGACTGAGTGTCCTTGTTTTTCTCAGCTGCTGTTGGCTTAAGATCTAAAGCAGCAGCAAGGATCAGCAGAGCCCACCGCAAGCTTCTCTTTGCTACAGTTTGTTTTGTTTCTGTGGTTGTCATCAGTAGACATAATAAGAGGGCTAACAGACCAAGAAACCCCAAAAATGAACAAAACTCACACTTTGTAGAGGGGCTTCTCTTTCACACATTGTTTTATGCACTACTTCAACCCAATCAGTTCTTCATAGTGGGCGTAAGCGGTCCCTGAGTTAATGTTCAACATTCACTTTTCTCCAATAGCCTATTGAAGAATAATAATATATTTTATATACTCTATTTGAAACTTATACAAGGATTAATGACTAAATTGCTCTTCCAAATTGCTTTTTTGAGTCTGTCAATTGATTCACAGCCTTTAGTTTTTGTCTTCTGCACACAAAAACAATTACAGTCTTCATAAACTAGCTGATCTGTTTCTGTATTAATTACGCTATTTGTCTCAATATTGTTAAATAGTTAGCCTATATATTTTAATATATTTTAACACTAATTTAATATAAATTATTTATATATGTTTAAATTTTTAAGTCATACACTGCTAAATGATGAATACATGCCATGATTAACATTGTCAACATTATAATTTACAATTAAGCTTAATTCCTAAAAAAAAATTATTACAAATAAAACACTTGTTTTGACGATGTTTGTCATGGCATATATTTGTCATTCAAGAAGTGTATGGCATGTAGAAATTAAGCATTCTGTTGTTTTATTCTAGTCTGCTAAAAATATAACAATTCTGTTAAATATTGATGTAAATATAGCCTAAATAATGTTGAAACAGTTTAGCTAGTTTATGAAGGTACGCAAGTCTTTTTTCAGGAATTGAGCATAATTGTAAATTCTCCTTTTTTTTTCCTGAGTTTTATGTAGACTTATGCTGTTACACAAATGCCCACACAAAATGCATACCGTAATGAACAAAAGTCAGAGAGCACCCTTCATTTATCTAACATTCAGTTAAAATGACCATTAAGTACAAGTTATTTGTTTTTAGCATTAGAAAAATAAGTATACATTTAACATTATTACACTGAAACACTCAGCAAATATAATATAATGTATAAATATTATAATGTATAAATATAATGTCATTTTTTCAGTGTTTAGTGTGTCCACACTTCTGTCCTTTTCAGGAGACTTGCTTTCAGTTTTTCACAGAAATCTGCAGGGATATCGTTCCACACAAGTTCATTCTTAGAAGTTTTTTCATTATCTTCTGCTTCATAATGTTGAAGTCTGGACTCTGGGGCGGTCAGTCAAACACCAGCAGATTCTTTATTTGATTTGCAAAATTTCCTTTTTTCAATAACGACTTCTCAACAGCTACACATCCTTTCAGACTCATAGTGTTGAGCTGTCTTCTCTCAGTGGAAAGATGGACAGAAACACCTGTGGATTTTATCAGATCAGATGCAAGAGTAGACCATGATTTTCTCCTCTCTCAAGGATAAAAGCTCTAAGTACCATTTATCTGACCCAAATTTGCATTCTGTGAATTCGATGCATTTATCCAAACAAAAGCAACAAAACTTCAACAAAGAAAAACAAGAAAACTATGTTGAGGATCCCAAATGACCCTCATCGGTAGGTTCAGGGTTAATTATCTCCCCAACAGCGAATAATGGAGAAGCAGAATATCGAAAGATTAATCAGGCAGCTGGAGTAGTTGATGACTTGCAATTTGAATAGAACATTAATAAGACATACCAGCTTGCCTTTATCTGTCGCCCTTCATCATTAAATCATCATTACCCATCTCTCTGCCTTACTTAAGGGCTGCTCAGTTCACTGCAGAGGCACTGGCAGATTTGATGTAAGGAGGAGTGACTAATGGCAGGCTAACAGGCAGGACTTGAAGTGCTTAGTCATCGGGTTATTTTGTTGCTGGCATGGCTCAGAAGGACTTGACACTTATGAGACTGTTTTTCTGATGACACAATTTCTTAAATAGGGAAAATAATGGCTTTCGGTGTGTATGATGACACCAGTACTACAGACAGCAAAGTTATTACTGAAAGGTGGGTACAATTGCTTCTGGTCACATCAGAGTGTGACACATTAAGGTATGTTGGCAAAAGAAAAGGTAAATGCATCAAATGACACACTCTGATGCGACCAGTTGTGCCTTGCTCATCCAACGATTGTTCTGAAATCAAGGGCATTAATAGGGAGTCTGTCACCATTTTCTGCAGTAACAAGCTCTTTTCTGTGAAGGCTGTGTTGCTGTGAGGATTTGATTGTGTTTAGCCACAGGAGCATTAGTGAGGTACTGATGTTGGATAATTTAGTTCTGGATCACAAACTCCAGGTATTGGATGGTTCACTATCACTCCAGAGAACGCAGTTCCACTGCTCCACAGTCCAGTGCTGGAGGGCTTCATACCCCTCTAGCTGACATTAGGCATGTTGACCTTAGGCTCATGTGCAGCTTCTTCAGAACATGTTTTCTATTAGCCATGCTTTTCTGTGGACCTTACACAAGCTGTGTGTGTGCAGTTGAACACCTCTGACAGCAATAAGTGCACACTAAACTAGCTAAATCCACACATTAGAAGGGGTGTCTGGGTACTTCTGGACATACAGTGTATGAACAATGACAGAAGCTTAATAATGTCATCACTGGATGGCCAGAGTTGACCACAGAGCAAAACAAAAGGGTGCGGTTAATCCTCCTCTCTTCATGAAGAAAACAAGAATCCTCTAATTAAAGATCTTTGTTTGTTTGTTTCCCTACAGGTTTTCTCTCATTTCAGATTCTGATGATAATTAAAATAGCACTGAGATTCCCTTGTGATTGGCACACATGTTATTATTCTAATCTTTG